CGATTTTAGTGACAGTGAGCACTATAACACACGAAAGAAAGTGCGTCATCAGTAATAAGACTTAATGACAACACGAACACGTACATTTTGTTTTATTTTGTTGTACAGCTACTATTCTTGTTATGTTCAGCCGGACTTTTCCTTTCGAACGTTTATTAAGATTACCAAAACACCATAGCGTACTAGTATGTCGCAGTAGTGCTATTTAATAAGGGAAAAATCAAATTGTTGGTTCGAACGCAGATAAACGCCGGGGCCTCAATTAAACGCCCCGGCGTTTATTTCAAAATTGGCCTCGAGGACCCGGCGTTTAATCGGGGTCCGGCGTTTAATTGAGAAAATACGGCAAATTATTAGAAGAGACAAGAACATCTTTAGCTCTTTCTTCAGCTAGTTTTGTTATTACGTGACAAACAAACAGAGCGAAGACAATAATAAGATGCAAATTAGAAAATAAGTATAAACATTATTAGTTTGTATCCAATACAGACTTGATGATTCAGCTGCTCGTTTAGAATGAATATTCAAGATCACGGTCGCCACTGTAGTTTGTAATGTTTCTGATTACGGTACCTTTCTTGGCTTTCAAGAGTTTTCACTATTTGAATCTTTACACTTCACTGTCTGTCTTCATAGTTGCCATAGTAAAATTTTACACCTGGTCAGAACGTAAAACGTTTCGGCCACTTTTCAGTGGAATAATAGTAAGAACAAGCGAAACAAGTGGAACAAGCGAAACTGACAAAATTTAATAGAAATATCTATATTATTTAGCACATTTAGTGATCGCCAGGTATAGAATGACAATGGTTAGCAGATGGCAGTATCTATCTCTTGTGACGCGTCCCGGGGGGGAGGCACTCCCCAAAGGTTTCGGTAGGGGTGTGCGGCCTAAACCTCGAAAGTTGTACTCTATTTCAGACCAAAATCTAGGATTACTCATGCCCTATTTCAGACCTGAGCAAAGAATCCTTACCCCAGACCTTCAAAATTAGAGCACGGCTCTAATATGTGACCGCAGGGAACCAGACATGGCTTCCATTTGCGCAAGCATTTGAAGGGGCTACCAATTTGCCAATTTGGATGGAGTAGTAATAGTTCCTCGTAAACAAAATACCCAATGCCAAGCCAGAATGAAAAACACCTGTTTCAGACCAAAATCGCCCAAAACCTTCACCCTTTGGGGCCGCACATACCTATATAGCCCATATGGGGAAGTGCTCCCGTCCCCCCCCCGCCTCTCCCCCTCCCGAACCCCGTTACACGTCTTAAGCAGTTCCTTATTCTTATTCAATGCAATGCAAATCTGCGCGATCGGTCCGTTGTTTCTGCGTTTTTACTAGCAAAATGAGTGCTTCGGTGGCATCGCTTACAGGAGCTCTCAAATGGAAAAGAAACCTACATTGGCCTTACACTGTATTGCTTCTAATGACGTTTCTCGGTTTTCTCTTTTACTTGGCCTGGCCAATTCTTCTGGACCAGTCAATAGAGGGGGAGAAAGAAATGGCACAGAATAACATCGCTTTTGTCCTGCAGCTGACGGCTGGGACTAATCCGTCTAAAAGTCGTTTCGTCTATCGACTCAAACAGTGCTTAGGTTCCATTTGCCAGCACTCCAGCATTAGTCTCACAATCCACCTCTTTGCCAATTCTGTAGGGAAAGATGAGGCTTTAAAAATCTTCGAGGAAATAGGTCATTATTGCGTGAGTGGCTACAAGGTAAAATTCTACGATGTTGAAGAGGTGATAGAAGGCATTCAACCTGCAGTAGACGTGATTAAGGTGAGTCTCAGATGTCATAAACGTTTTGTAGTAAAACTACAACTGATGCAAATTAACCGCTATTATATCTCGTGTTAAGCCCCTTGAATGTAGGAGTAAGAAATTCACATATGATATAAGATCAGGCTACCTACAGCGCAACGGAATCTCAGAGCGAGTAGTAAAATCTCATGTATATTCCTTTGGCTTGTTTTTTGGATTTAGTAATGCGATAATGCAATTTTTGGATGATGGCTGTCTTGCGTGTACTAAACGATATAATCCATATATGATCCTTTTGTTGTTTTTGTTTTCTTTCAGTTTTAATTTTTTAATTTGATGTTAGTGAATATTCGTACGAATCAAACGAATGGACAGTACGTTAGGTTTAGCGGCGCGCAGCAGCCCTCAGGAGGAAGCATACGTGTTATGGCGATGACAAGATACTGGCTAATATATGCAGAGCATTCAGTAGACATCTATTGTCAGTATTGCTTTTATGGGAACAGTGAGGAATAATTTAGCTTGCGTATGTTAAAAGCTTTGGACATTAATTATTCAGTTGAGTTTTAACGGCCGTTCAGTTCAGTCCACGGAAGTTAATTTGAGTGCAGTAAAATACCAAAGTTCTCCACATCCATATAGCTCACAATTTGTTCAACGTAACCATGTCTTTGCATGGTCTGCCAAGAGGCATTACAGACTGACTCACGAGATACCGTTCTCTCACTAAGTGCGCTGTTAACTTCTTAGTTATTTCAGTTATTTTGCGGAGACGTTCCTCCCACAGCTCAGTAATTACTTGCGTACCCTTTTTTTGAGAGCAAAAAATATAATTATATAATAAGTCAAATTATTCTCGTATTTTGATTGGGTGTTACATGTGATCTATTGGAGGACAGACGCATGGTTGACGTCATTAACATTCTTTTTTTGGTTGTTTCTTTATTATATATAACAAATAGATTCTATGCTGCCGTGCGTCTGTGCAGTAATAGATCACGGAAGACGTTACCTGTGATCTTTCTCTGAACAGACGCCCGCTAACATGGAGTCTATTTCTTAGTTAGATCTTTGAATTCAGATATCGCCTTCTTTTAAATCAAATCAGAAAGAAATCATTTCTTAGACTAAAATTTAACGGTCGAAATCTGTCTTTGCTTAAACTAGCATGTTTCAGATGTTGGATTAGTAGAGTAGAAAAACAGGATTAACCCGGAAAACGGAATAAAACATTTGGTTATCTTTTCCACAGGATGCAATTCAAATTGGTGGTCGCAGTAATACAAAAATGCCCCTCTATTATCTTCCAATATTCATGGATAGCATTTTGCCTGAAGATGTGACAAGAGTCATTTTGATGGACGCTGACTTTTTCTTCTACTCTGATATCAAGCTACTGTTTGATCACTTTGACAACTTCAAAAACACAACTATTTTTGGTTTAGCTTATGTGCAGCTACCAACCTACCGAGAGGTCTTTCAAAAATACAGACAAGAGCATCCAGGAACGAAGATAGGCGATCCACCCCCCGATGGCGTCACGGGATACAATGGAGGTCTTAGCATGCTTCACCTGAGTAACATGCGAAAGTCGAAGCATTACAAGCAAATCCTGCTTAATAATGAAGTAAGAAAATATGCGGAGAAATACCAGTTCCGATCAACCAGAGCTGAACAAGATTTCTTTGTTTTATTGGACGCAGAGCACCATGATGAGCTGTTTTATGTGGTTCCTTGTCAGTGGAATCGTCAGCTATGTAAAAGGACGTCACCAGCACTCGAATATCGTAATTGCCCTAAGCCTATTCACGCCTACCATGGAAACTGCCATGTAAAAATGCCAACATTGGATAATCCTTCCCAGTTTACAGACTGAAACTGTATCAGATTTTTATTCTTTTTCGTATGGGTGTCATAGATTGACGTGGTTAGACAGTCGGGTGTTGAACTTTTGATTAAGAAAGATTTAACATATGTTACTGTGAGGTGTAGTCATAAATAGAAAGGGAAGGGTTAATCAAAAAAAATCATACCCTATTGTTACGGTCTATGGGAAAAACTGATTGTGTTTTTTTTTTAAGTAGACAGAGTAAGGGAGAAGGATACCTAAATTCCAACTTTAATCATAACTCTTTAATGACTTAAAGTTTACTAGCTGGTTACGATTTGTACTACAAATGGTTGTTAAGAAGATGAGATGGCTGGGCGCGGGACAAAGCAGAGAGCAGTAAAAGAAGTTAATGCTAAATACTATTTGTTGTTATCGAGGTTACATTAAAAAGAAGGTTAAAACCTATAGTTTGCTCAAGAACCTAGAAGTTAAGTATTAAAAGATGCAAAAACAACTTAAGCGTTGTCTTACATTTGACACTTACATAGAAAAAGAGCGCAAAGTATGTAATAAATACTAAATACTAACTGTTGTTATCGAGGTTACTTTTCAAAAAAGGTTAAAACCTATAGCTTTGTTCAAGAACCTAGAGGTTACGTATTAAAAGATTCAAAAACAACTTAAGCGTTGTCCTAAGTTTGTCACCACAAAGAAAAAGAACGCAAAGTGTATATTAAGATGCAAGTTAGAACAAATAGGTCTATATTATAATTTTTTTTATGCAATCCGTCACTTCAAAAAGGAGAAGAAATTTGGGGCGAATCTCATTTTGCAGTCGCTTCTGGTAACGTGACGTCACACTTTAGGACTCTATAGGAACAAAGAATTAGAGCGGAAAACCTACTGCGCAGCTTTCTACGCATTTCTAACCCTACCTGCGGGCTCAGACAATAATGCGGGATGCAATGGCAGAGGGAGCGGCGCACTGAAATAAGGAACGTGAGGATGTCGCTCGGTTGATTTATTTCTACTTGGGAAAACATGAATTTTTTCGGCATTTCACTGTTAATGAAACGAGGCTACCCCTGCCTAGGCCTGCTGCGAGGCTCTCTTGCTTATACATAACTGGTGTGCTTATATGGATGCAATATGTAAAGACGGTCTGTGGAAAAAATGTGTCTTCGAACCGAAATTTAATTTCTTGTATACCGCGGGAAAATAGAGGGATCGGAAACCTTTTTAATATTAATTTTGTCGGAAAAATATTGATTCCCCACGAAAACATTACACCAGCTTTCTATCTGTTACGAGAAGATGTTACTGGGAAAATTAGGAAAGTATATTAACTTTGTAACCATTTTTGTTTACGTGAATGACGAAATCCCCCCCATTTTTTCAAATTTGGAGCTTGGCGCGGCCAAAACTCGCGCATGCATTTTACGCCTCTCCGTTCTGAAGGACAATTTAGCTTTTCATCCTTTGTTTTGTCATTATTAACAGTCCCACGAGCCACTGCGAGTTGAGACTATCCTCAGGTCAGTCTTCTCGTTTATAGAATGGCGATAATGGCTTGATTGCTGATGCAGAGTGAATATTCATCGTCACGATTGTCACTTTGTCTCGGGCTCACCTGAGACATTGTAAATTGAAGTGTGCCTAATTACTTTTCTTGGCTTTCAAGACTTTCAATATTGTTTATAGCATATAATACCTCACTGCATGTGTTCATGGTTTCAATTAAAGTTGCCATGTTTATAATTCATGCAGGGCAAGAACGTGAAATATTCCCTATAGATGTTGGATAATCATGTAGAAAACGTTTTCGACCGTTTTAGCTCGTTTTAGTGGAATAGACGAAACAGATTAAATTTAACCGAGAAATGCAATTTTATGGAACACAATTTGTGTTAGCGTAATGTAGAATGACTAACCTCTTACTAACTGATCACGAGGGCCTTACTGAGGAATCAACTGGTTTAAGGTGGTAGCAGTACGGAAAGACAAAAACGTCGACCGAGGACCAATATTCCCCAGTACTGGTCTAACAAGCAAGGTTAGTAAGTAGTTCCTAATATCAGTGGCACTCGGGCCATGTTTGTTCATTGAATTTACCGGCTTTCGAAAACAAAAAATACCGCACGGCCTAGCACCATTTCTATGGAAACGGTCCGTATGAACAAAAACCCGACTAAGAAAGAACCAATCAGAACGCTTAGATTTACCTCAAGACCACATTGCCATAAAATAAATTGGTATATTGATTAGATGCAAAGCCAAAAATCGATTGTTCGCCTTTCGTATCTATTGTTTAAGGCTGGTTTTCACAAGCGCATAAGCATAAGCCGACACACGCAGAGGTAGTGAGATGTTGATAATTAACGCCTCTGGCTAATAGCATAAACGAACAAAAGATACTACTGGAAAAGGGAAATCTCAAAAACATCCGACAATACGAAGAGGGTCGTACAGGGGGGGTCTATGGCACGGTTCACGTGGAACGAAAAAAATAGAGGATCACGAATATAAAAATTTCGTTTTCCTGAATCACGAAAATAAGCAAGTAAGATACTCTCTATAATAACCTGTTCTTACACTAGAAAGAGTGTTTGGGGAAAGAAAAATCATGAAAGGCTAAGTCAAGACTCCATATCGCAAATCGCATGTCTAAGTCACTCTCGATAGACGATTCTAACCATTCGGAGGATCCGCGTCTCAAAATCACGTAGAATTTGAGTGGTGAAATCACGAATATCGGTGAATAATTCAAGTTCTTTACGGATCACGCAAAACCTTCAGGTCACGGATCACGAAGAGTAACTTCCTAAATTCACGTTTCACGGAAAATAAAATCAGCTAATCACGCATCACGAGAATACCCCTATACTACCCTCTACGAAGTCAATACGCCACTGCCCTGGCAGCGTTCGGCAGAGTTTGGTCCCTTCAGTCCATTTCGTGGACAAGTTGGGCCCGCAATAGCCATTTCCAAGTTGCCTTTTACCTCTGTATCAAAACTAGTCTTCGCACGAAAGCAGTCAAATGATAATTAGTTCCGCAACCAAGTTCATTTTCATGTAAATCAAACTCATTTTCATATGTAAGAGTTTGCATGACGACTCGTTTTGAAACAGAGGCACAAGGTAAATCGGATGGACACGGTTCACGTAACAGTATTCGACCAGTCATATGTCGTCTCAGCCGGAGCAATGGCGGACACATTTTTCGTTACGAATGGAGAGTAGGTTGTCTTTTCTCGACCGATTTCTGCACTCATCATGAGAATCAAACGATCATTTTCTAGGAGCTGCTAGTGTAATATCTAGACCAATCATTTACCAAGCCTCAAGTGCAGGTAAGCAATTTTTGCATCAGAACTAGTCAATGGAAATCATGCTATGTTGAAAACGTTTGTTTACCACACGCGCTTGACATGA